CGCATACCATGGGCCATCGCTATGATACTGGAACTTAAAGCGGTGCGATGGTTTGTGTGCCACAGTGAGCCACTGAGGATGCTGGGTGGGGCTTTCTGCACCTTCCGAACCACTCATACCAGACAGGTCAATGGTTAGAGGCCAAACAAACACAGTCTCCTGGCCATCCAGGTTGGGGTTGAAGTGTGGTAGGTACCTTGCGCATTAAAACGAGCTCATTGTAGTTCAGTACCAAAATCTTGTTAGGTTATGGTACAGTTGATGACCTTAATCGTTCTCCTGTCTATGCCTATGCAACTTTACAGTATCCGGCCCGCGCAACGTAACAACGTGCATTTTCCTTCTAACAATCTCGATATTCTAGCAGTCACAGCAAATCATCAGTGGTACCCTATCTGCTACATCGAGCAGCGGTTTGGATGTTACTGCTCAGGCCTTCCCATTTCTTATTCCCCCACTTGCGCTTTTTCATTCTTAGCGTCCCATTACAACTTCACTTTTATACCCCCGTTTTCAATCCCACAATTCTTGGCTCTCCCCACCTTGCTTCAATAGTCGCTTCTCTGCTAGCTTCAACTCACACGCAATCGAACGGCGTCGCTCCAATTCAGTTGACAAGTCCATGTTCAACCAAGCGGACAAGGTCAGTTTATCCTTTTCCCTTTGGAGTCCTTGATCCTCGATAAGAATAACATGCCCCAACGTGCGCACTTTGCTACAGATTTGCCAACAGGCAGCATTTGCCCGAATACTTTAGAGTCAATCCAACGATATTCGAAGTTTACCGGGAACTCGTCAGCAAGATTCGAACTCCGTGCTTACCCTGAGATCCCCCAAATGCGACACTGGCGGAACATTCCAATTGCGCTTGTCTGACATTGACGCAGTTTCAAATGCAGGTCAGGCTAGCGTCAGCATTGTTTCGTTCCCAGGCTGAAGCTGCGCTGATGGAATGGATCCCAGTCAACAGACAAAAGTGACCGTTAACTAGGCTGGCTCGTTCCAGGCTTCGAAGTCACGCGAGGACCATCGATGCATGTATATCATTGCGATCTGCGGCCTTAAAAATTGCAGCACTGGTTCGGTGAAAGATGATTTCTATCATCAACTTAACGATCTCCTTGGTTACAAAAGAAGTACAGATACTTTCGTGTTGGCTGGTGATCTAAACGCTCAAGTCGGGAAATTGTTCGCTGATCAGCTTCATCTGGGCAGTCAACATGGTGTGGACTACAGTTATGAAATAGGCAAGCGATTGCTACACCGTATGAAGACGCTCGTCTCTTTTTCGCGAGTACTAACCGACGACACAGCACTCGCCGAGGAGTGATATGGCGACCACCAGCCTCGGACCAGCCATGGAGGAAAATCGATCATACCGCGATCAGTTACCGCTGAAGTGGCTGCGTCCAAACTTGTCGCTCGATTTGGAGCACAAGCGTGGAGTTTCACAAACTGTTTCACACTGCTTTTTGTGTCCACCTTCGGGTGCGTTTCGGTGGATGTCCGCAACGTCGATGTGAGCGCATTGCCACCAGCCAGCTAGCAAACTCAGGTGTTCTGCATGCGTATCAAACTACGCTGGCATCGGGGCTGAGTAAGAGCCCACTGAATACCACTGAAGAGTACTGGCTGCATATTCGCTAAACGTTACTAGCAGCAGGTATGTCTTCATGTGGCAAATAAAATTGCCAAACTGGACATTGGGTCTCTACACAGTCTGGAACTTATGGGTGCTCGCGCTGTACTCCGGCTAGAAGCGAATAAAATGGGAGTCGCAAACCTCTCAAAGCAAAAGTGCATACTAACCAGAAGAGAGACCGCGAAGTCTGGTGGCCCATCGTACATCGGAAATGGAAATATCCGCTGCAGTTCGTAATCCTCCTAAGTTATCACGTCTCATACAGGAAACGGGTAGCAGGAGACCTGGTATTAGCTAGACCATACGCGAGGAAACTGGACAGCCGATCCACAGCCTGTCAAAACGCTTGTAGAGTAGGGCCGAACACTTTGCAATGTAGTTTAACCAACATTAATTATCGCTTTCTCTTTCGGTCAGTGAGTGCCCTTCTCTAGAGGCCGTTTCCTAGGATGCGCGCTCAGCGCAGAATTCGAACGTGAGATCAGAATGTTGAGCTTGCATAAGGCCGCAGGTGCAGGGAGAATTCTCCCAACCCTTTTCAAATTCGGGGGACCTGCTCTAGTAGATGGATTACACTTGTTGCTAGTGAAACGATGAGATCAGAAACATTGCCGATAAGCGGAAACTGCTCCGTCATAATCCCAGTTTTTAAGGTTGGCTGCCTTTCGGAACGCAGCAGTCATAGAGGGCACCGTTTGATCTTAACTGTCTGTAAATTGTTTGTGTCTGTCGTTCTCCGCCATCTGACTAGCGCTGGTGTAGGCCAAATCCGTAAAGAGCAAACCGGGTTTCGTCGAATTGGGGGTGCATCAACCACCATTTCAATTTTGTCAGTTGTTGGCGCACCGCCATGTTTATTGGCGACCCACCGTAGTCGTGTTTCTCAGCATAAAAGGTACATTCGATTCGGTGGATCGATATGCCTTTTGGGACTGTCTGTTGAGGAAAGGTGTGGCCGATAAATATGTAATCAGAGCGCTGTGCGTGCATACTTTGGGCGTAGTGAGGATTTACGGCAAGCTGTCACCATCCTTCAGTATAACCAGCGGTGTGAGACAATGATGCTAGCTGTCACCGTTCTTATTTAACTTCGCCATTGACGATGTCATGGAAATAGCGTTCACCGGACACGACCTACAAAGTGTGGAGCTACTTTCTGGTGAGTGACTTCTTGACTTGGTGTATGCGGACGACAGTTCCCTCACAAGTGACAGTTTCCAAACGTGCCGAGCTGCACTGGATCGATTAGCACTGGTTGTCAATGGTTTTGGGCTATGCTTTTCTTCATCGAAATGCAAAGCACTACTCCAAGATTGGCAGGAACCGAAACCTGTGCTGACACTTGATGATGACTAGCTAGAAGCCGTACTTGAAACTAAGTACCTTGGCAGCTATGTTAGTGCCAGTTGAATCCAAGCTGAGATTCCGAACCGTATAGCAAAAGCTCGAGGTGTTTTTACCAATCTCTGTCACCTGTGGTGCAGACGTGACGTCATTCTTGTCCTGAACTGCAGAGTTTACAATGCAGCCTTCCGTTCAATCCTATCGCACGGTTTTGAAACCTGGACCATCAAGTCGACAAACATAAAAGGGCTAGTCACGTCCGACCATCACTGCCTTCGCAGCTTAGCTCATATCTGTTGGGAGCACCGCGTGAGCTATGAGCGCGTTCGGCGTCGTGCATTTGTTGCAAGAAGAGCTGGTGAACCACTCGGCACCATTATATCACACACCAGGCTCCGATGGCTGAGTCAGTGTGTTGCACATGCCAGCACATCGACTTTCGCGACGTGCATTGTTTGCGCGCCTGGGGTGCGGTTGGCAGAGGAGGAGGGAGGCCAAGCGATGACTTGGTCAATAGAAATGAAAACCTTCATTTTGAATTTGGCGTCAGTTGGTGCATGCCGATGCCCGACTGTGTCCCTAAGGACAATGGACACGTTTGGTTGGACACAATTGCTGATATGGCTAGGAGCCTGCCCCAATGGCGTTTGTGTTGTGAGTTCTTTTGTTCATCCCCTTCCTGTTTAACCCTCTTGCAACTGCGATCTCAGTCATTAGGTATAATATAACTCCTTTTTTGCAACATAACAGCCGGCTGTTTACTCACCGGAACGATATCCGTCCGTTAATGGAGACTCAGCCGACGTGCCTCTGTTGTATATTTTTTGTCTTTTCTAGTGCGGCACAATAGCTGAGGTGTTTTCCTCTTGCAGCTAACGTGTATAATGATACTGCTGATAATACGTATCAGGAAGTCGAAATTCCTGCTTTTACAAATGCTATCGAGTATGGCGGGCGATCGGTTGTCAGGAGGATTACGATAAGCCGCAGTGGGACTTAGACAACGCTTTTGAAAGATCAAAGGCAAAGATACTTCCGTTTGATGCGGGCAAGTGTGAAACTGTACGTACGCCACAAGTCCACTTACGTAAATAAGCTTGCAGAACACAAATTGAAAACTGCATCACAGGATCGCAACCATAGGGTGGTGATGCATGATGACCTCGGCTGTTCGGCGCAGTTCTTGAAGACGTCCAAAACCGTGAATCAACATGTCGGTCACTTACAAAGTGCATTCGAGCAGTTCTACCGTTCCAGATTCCTATAAATGTCAATGTGTACGTGAGGCCCCATTAGAACACGGGATTCAGGCCTGGCAACCCTGGTTAAAACACGATCCGTTTGCACTGGAGAGATCACAGCGAAGGGTCACCAAAAATGTGAAGATATTGTTATACCTGCCATATCACCTGCGGATGAAAGCCGTTGGAGCGTACAACGGAAGCTATTTCCATTTACGGGATGATCTCACTCTGGTTTAGCAGATTTTGTAAAAGCCCGATCACACTTGCCGCCACCTGCTGAAACTCAACCGCGACATAAAACCGAGGGGTCCCTTGCTGAAATTGGCCACCAAATATAGTCGGCTGGAATGCCACCGGAATTATTTAGCTTAGCATTTGTCAGCCATGAAACGCTCTTTCCATCTTTGTCCTTACTGCATCTGCGCTACTCGTTTAAAAACATGACTCACATGCATTGCTTGAGTTGATTTCTGTTCATCGATTGACGACGAGACACAGTCAAATATTGTGCTCACCAACCTCCACGAAATCAGGGTAAAGATATACCTTGGGTTGACATAAGTAATATGGTGAGTCCAAGGATGCGCGTTTCACTCTAGTATAACTTCTTTTTCTGAACGTATATAATTCACATAAACCATTCCACAAGACCTGTAAAGCATTGAATTTTTATATACATTATACCATTGTTCCATTTTTGTTTGCTCGAGTTGGTTAAGAGCATGTTTTATTCAATATTTGTAAACCAATGTAATACTTCGCGAACTTACCAAGCGACCAGTCAGTTTCGCGACTCGCTGTTGGACAACGGCAGTGAGCATGGACGTCCCGTAAATGACCAGCGGAACTAATGCAAGCTTTGATTTCTCCATTTTAAGTGTGTGTAACAAGAATGGAGATAGGTAGAACTAGAAAAGTGAATGGAAGAAGCTCAGCGTTTAATACCGCAGAAAATTAGAGCAGCATCAAAAAGATTCTGCCTAGGTTATTATTAATGATAAAATAGGTTCATTATAAAATAGTTCGCCAGTTACAACGCTGCACATTTTGCGCCAGAGGAGAACGAATTTGCGTGTGTTGTACCTATATCTTCCGATCAGATTCATATGCAAAGTGGCGCAAGCGAACTAAGGTACCATTATCGCATCTAAATCGTGGTCTGGAAGTCTAGGTGCTGTAGGATAAATCTTTATATATTGCAAACCGTCAATAGAGAAAGGCTATTCATTGTAGTCGGATGAAAGAAGACAAACGTATTAGATTATAACACAAAGTAACAGTAGGTAGATTTTCAATTCAGGCGCTACAGCATGAGGCGAATGGTTGTAATATACTCCGGATTCTTGCTGTCCTCCTCGTTTGGTCAAAAACATAAGCAGTCAGAAACCTCATCCACCTCAACCACTTCAACCACTGTTACTACCAGTTTTCGGTGGGCTTCTTCACGCTTATTTAGCGTAGCGTGGTGGTCCCTTAAAACTTTATTCGGGAAGGCCTTCCTACTTTGACCACGATAAAGGCTGGGAGAGGGAGCAAATGACTTAACCACCATACGTGGCGAAGTTGAACCTTATATCTAAACCAGTCACAAGCAGCTGTCTTGTTAAACACTATGTATCCGGACTGAGTGATACCTACTGATGGTTCAAATCATTGAACGCTATGCTTTGTATACAACAACGGTCAAACGAAGTGGCATTTCTGATTCTCCTATGAGTTCCGGCTTTACATTTACTCAGCATTTAGATCACCAGGATAAAGTAGGCCCATCGAAATCTCACTACTCGTTATGATAGGGATATCGACCTCAGTACGAGTCTGATCATTAGGGGTTCCATGATTGCCAGGTAAAGTAAGTTCATCTGATCTCCGAATGAATGCCAAAATAAGACGGTAAACAAAGACTAAAGATATTTTCGACACGTTCTATATGGGTGTGAATAGGAAAATGCTTCTGTCTCACCGGACTCTACTGTGGTTTACTGGTGGTTGCAAAGTTTGACTGGTTAAAATGCACAGGTTGGATCAGAAGGGCAAATGTCTACACTTTCAACAATTCTGTTCCTATAAAAGAGAACGTTGGTTAAGGGAAGCAGGCAAGATAATGGGACTTTTGCGTTCATAAGTTCATCCTTAGGCAACGGGACAGAGAGATCCCAGCAATTGACCTTCGTGTTTCCGGCTACTAAGGAAGTTAGGTGGAAGCTATAGGAGCCTCTTCTAAATTGAATACATAAATAAATAAACTTATTCTCGACAAAGCGAGGCACGCTTGTATTGGTATGACTCATCCAGATATATTGCACCGTAAGTCACTTGTGTTCAGTTAGCCGGTCAGAACATGTTGATGGTTGGTAGATTGTATCTTTATCCAGAAGGTTCAGTTAGAATATGAAATTTGTTAAATTCACAAGCATCTCAATGTTCCAAACATATATGTTGACAGTCCGATCAGAAGGCAGTCAGAAGGATGGAACAATGCTCGGTTGTCAACAACAACGACGCTAAGCTCTTCACACAAATTGAGTCTGTTATTCAAAAAAACCCTTAGCGAATCTTGAAGCTTTTGATGAAGTACCGAACAGCTGAGTACTATGAAACTGTCAAAGGACTAATATCATCATTTCAGGTTCTAGTTAATCAAGGATGCGAACAAAGAAAAGGGTTACAGACTGTTGAGTTGGCACTGAAGGCCCGTCTATCTACCTGGTTACTTACAAAGAATGGCGATGCTCTGGATAGCCTTTCTTCAAGTAATACGCAGAAGAAATCAGTGTTTATGCAAAAGCTACTACTCGCTTAAGTGAAGGAGTTTGCTGGAAAATTCATGTCTATTGGTTTTACAGCTACAGTTGGAAGGAACAGGAAACGCTAAATTAAAAGGTACTCCGTCTCCAAGCATGGTCGTTAAGTCCAAAAACTTAGATCCACATCGATCAGATGAACATTTTGGGCTAAATGACATATTCCAATATGGTTGAACGAGCAAGAATCAAGTTCATGCTAGATGGCGGAAACAGTAGTTAAGAAACACCTCGCATTAGCGTATCAGACAATGACTTGATACTCATTGTAAATAACAGCATTTGTAAAACAACTTAAGCGGCACGCACTAGGCACGCAAACGGTAATAATAAACACTAAATCCAACTCAACAACCCAACAATTAGATGAGCTTCTCACATTAGAAAGCATAACACTGGTGCGCATAGTTGTAAAGATAAAACAGCCGATCCAGAACCTCGGTTGCCGAAACCATTGGTACCACTCGAGAGGAAGAACGGTGAGGCCCTTGTTCTGATTTTCTCGATGGGAACTCACAGGCCGTAGATGATCACAAGACTTGGACTGACAATGACAAGTTTCGTCTGACGGCTTTTCCAGCGATCTGAAGTCGTCGAGACTTTTGATAAACTGTGGAACTGACTCGATCCTGTCGGTGGAAGACACCGAAACTGACAATTGGTATAAGAGGATGCGAATATGGTTAAAGTGGCCGAATGCATATTTGTGCTGGTTTACTGCTTTTAAACTGTTATTAACGTTAGTATACTTTAAGATATAAGTGTCGTTTAGTCTAACGACCAAAAAACTAGGGGAAAATGGAAGGATGATATCTATTAATACTATAATGCGGTTTAAATCTGTAGAATTTGACAAGAACGCAACAGTTCAATACACCTAAGTGTGCGATCCATAGGGGCGGACTGGAAGTGTTTAGCATAGCATGCAACTTAACAAAACAAAGAGTCAATGATTTCTCCCCACAAGTGCCGCCGGTATGGCAGTTGAAACACATTCGGCGACGTATAAGGGGGATCCGTTAACATAATTTTTCAGTTATAAATTCAGGAACAGGATATGAAAATGGAACCACTTCACCATGCGTTCCATTTAGCTGGATTATCTATCACGCAGATGAAGTCGATGAATAACACTGGAAAAGCGAGAACTACTTGAAGTTTAACTAGAGGTCACGAACGGGACGTGTGTAAAATAATGTTTATCGGATTTGCGAGTAAAATTCGCTTAAGTTATTTGCACATCCAGCGGACTTAATCTAAAGTTTTAGTCAAAAATAGAAACCAGGAGAAAACCAGAGAATAACCGATGACCGTCGTATAACTTCATGAGAGCGCTTGGAAATACAGATCACTCTTATAGAGGCTGTGCTCTGCCGGCCGTTATCAGAAAGGCACGCATCCACCTCGAAACCGCATCCGAGGTAATGCTGCCTTTCTGATTAGCGACTGGATTGCGAATTCATATTCCCTGTAATAGACAAGACGCCAATACACAGAAAAGAAAAGATGCAGCTTACGAAATGCATGTTTGACGGATGTTGGGCTACAGTCGTTGAGGCCGAAGCAACAAAAACATCTCAAGTTTAGCCCCTGATTATTTACTTTGCCCAGTTTATGTTGGATTGCAGCTACACGGTGATTCATCTGGAATCCTTCCAGAAGGGTAAAGTTCGTAAGTCCAATTCAATTGAATGTGACGCAGTAAATGGCACAGGTTATGAGTTCGACATAAAGTGAGACGCGAAGTGTGCAAGCCGTGCCTTCAGTAACGCAAAGATTCCCGATTCCTTAAAATAGAGACTATAAATTTCTGCTGGACTACTAATTCTTTTTGGATAAATTCTCATGGAACAAAAAGGCTTGCATCGCAATAAGTATATGTCGTAAACGTCAAATCGGGCAGAGGAATGAGTTCCGAGTTATTTGAATGGCCACACCCATAAGTTAGGCTTGGGATACAGATGACATTACCTGATGGTCGATTTGACATAGCATAGTGACAGGGAAAGACGGTAAAGCAATAACCCAAGATTAAAAGAGGTGACAGAATTGTTGTCTGTATGGCTCATTCAGTAACTACTGGCGTCTTGCCGGTAAACGCAAGAGTCTTGTTCCTGAAAAAGCAATGAAATGGTAGCATGGCGGATTGCTCGCAACGCTGCTTTGTGGTCAGATGAAACACTCAAGCAGCCCATTCCGACAGAGAGTCCTTTGTCGGACTGCTCCACGTATTATCTTTGACTAAACGGTCCGAGTTACATGTCAGTAAGATGCGTCCAGTTCCGGTTAGTGTCTGCAGAGTCTCGTCAAGATCTACATGGGGCCTGTCACACACTGTAGCTGTTTTTCGAGCACAGTGTATTACGCATATGATTGTCCGTTGGTCAAACAAACCAGGTACAATCGTGTATTCACTACAAACTTGCTTGGTGCATAGGTCTAATTCTTATTGCCTATAGTTACTCAAACTTCACATGGAACTGGCCTCCGCTGTTTGGATCAGTTCGTGTGGAATACCAAACCAGTGCCACCGGCGATATGCGGAGGAATAAGTAAACATAGACTAAGCACAGATTGCTTGCCGGAAGACGGTTCCACTAAAGCGATATGAAGTGGCTCTTTTGCACAACTTTGTATACATGACCAATTTGTTACGGTGAATTAAATACGGGTTGTTGTCCGCTGTTGCAGTTTGGTCACACCTTCTTCTAATAGGACGATATAAACTTCTGAGTGAAAGCAAGTCGGTGGGGGAACAAATATAAAACATCAATTGACTTGGACAATGCCTTTCACCAGGTCATCTTGTCCATCATGAAATGTGCTACACTGTGGCTGCTATTGTCCAGATTAAGATGATACGGATCGAGAGTTCGTTTTCGTTCCTCAGTTCGGTCAGCAAGCGACGATAATAGAGCGTTCATTAGTATACAAGAAAGAACTCAGTTTGAGTTAATAATAGACTTTGACTTTGACAACGTGAGACTGGGATTTTTTATAAAAATAATTTGACTGGAGATTGGAGTTTAGCTTAAAGTGAAAAGGCTTCACTTCTCAGAGAGTTTCAAAATTTCAGTTAACACATTTATGCAACCGATCTATACGCTGAGCACTGAAATTTCACTACTTTTCCGATTAGACGACTGCTGACGACGCTTTAATTACTATGGAACAACTATCAGTGTTGATGCATCCGTTTCATTTGGAAGGCTAGCTATTAAGACTTACATCAGTCAATCGGTATTGCATGCAAAAAATCAGGTTAACGAGCACCAACTTAAGTCGAATATATCTGTTCATCGGTGTACCAAATCTTCCGGGCAGCAACAAAGACCCGGTACAAACATCGTTGAACTAAACGGGTCTTGGAACAGATTGTGTTGGCAAAATTATTAATCACAATGCAGCCTGATCTCTAGTATTAACGACAGCAACCCTATATGTGTTCGACATCGAACTCAGCTGTTATATAATATCAGGGGGTCTACGCAATCTGCCTTACCGGAAAGACTGAATTTGATGGGAATTTTCAGCTTACGCTATCGAAGGCTACGCGGTGATCTTATATTAGTGTGCCAAATTTTGTGTGACCACAACCACGTATCCCACAATTTACTGAAACTTAACCACAACACGCAACGCAGAGGTAACTGTGTGAATCTGCGTGAACAATACAGCCGTCTAGAGTGTCGACGGAATTACTTTTTGTTTCGGGTTTGCTAACGCTGTAACTCTCTCCCAAACTCCATTGTATCCTCCCTTGCTTTGGACATTTTCAAAAAAAAACAGATGTTGCTCATTGCGCCCAGCACTTTGTCACCTAAGCTGCGCTACCATGGGACACAATAATCACGCTATTCCAGCGGACTGATGAGTCATCTGGACCCCAGGAAGAAGTGCATGTGTGAGCGACCTTATGTTTATTGTTTTCACGCTTCGCCTCAACTATCACTGCGCCCTATGTTGTAGTATATGCTTGCTTTCACACTCATTACAAACTGGCATTAATTGTCAGCGCATTTGACTCAGTAAACACTTAGACAGATGACTGACACACCTTTTGATTTTGGGGTTTTCACCCCAGCCATCATACGGAGCTTGTCAAGCTTTTGCATTTTTATCCGTGACAACTCATTTTCATTTTACACTTGGTGCTGCAAAAATAGGAAGAGCCAAAGCTTATTCAACGTTTGTGCAAAAGTGAAGTGACCGAAAGCCGTTTGAATGGGGAAAATGTAACTTATTTTTCATTGAGTGTACACTTCTGTGACCTTTATCTTCAGTAACGCCGTTTCGGCTGGTACTGAAAACCGATGCAATCACCAGGTCCAATTGGCTAAAATACACAGCATCCAAAGGAATCCCCTTATTGTGTTCCTATTGGCTCACTGGTCTGTCGGGTTTATTGACAGGTCCGAATCCTTCAGGATCTTTAAATCGTTTTAACACTGCATCCCGATGTTTGCAATTTTCAGAAAGACTAGTTGTAAACAATAACAACAACAACAACGGAAGAACAAATGGTTTCATTAGATCTTTGATACGGTTTCTGACCACGACTCCGTATTTACAACATCCGACTCTTTAACTATTAGTATAAAGAGCAAAAGAAGACAAGCAGCTTACAAAGTGTTCTTTGTCCCAGATAAAACATCGTTGGGCCGCTGGAGAGTAACTTATTCTGGTTTGAATCTGAGTTTGGGAAAGTGTGGCATGTACCTTCTCAGGCGCTATTTCATCCTGAGTGTGGTTAACAAAGATATTGCTTTAGGTTGGCGTCATGCTGTTCCGAATTTGTATGTCCTTGTGGCCTCCGTGGGGACAGCCACAGGGCACCTGCGCTTACAGAGGCACCATGGGTGGCTTGCGCCGCACCACCCACAGCTCCAACCACACACCCCATATCCAGTGTAAACCCGAAGGAATAAGACCGGGAGGCAAGTGGATGGGAGCCACGTTTTAGCAACGGAGCCGGTCCGCACACTTTTAACATGTACAGTAGCAGCATTCCTGTCTATGTAATGTTGGAACCAGGTGTCCAGATGTACACAAGATGGTGGCTGGGCAGTAGCCCGTTCTACACAAGAAGAAATCACTGTTTGAGACTAGCACCGTCACGAGAAAAGCGTACCGCATCTTCTTGGAGCAAGTATAATTGAAGTTGAGAGTAACAGACAGGTAGACACTTTGTCAACTTTCCCATCAAGCGAAATTCGACATTACATACCACAAACATAGGACTTATATTAGAAGCAAGTAACCCAAGCCCAGTAGTAGTTTACAGATTTACAATAAACTGAGGATCAAGTGGCTAACGCAACATCATAGATGAACTCATCGTGTGCTGAAACTGTCGGTAGTATAATGGATTCAGGGATTACAGTGACTCTGGTTCATACAATTCGCAGAGAAACAAGAGAGGTATGGACGGCTTAGTAGGAACATGAATGGTGCAGAGACGTACGAAGAGGTTTATTTGTATGGTACTTGGACAGCGCATCCAGTTGTGCACCAGGATAAGTCCATCAAAATACTGTTGAAAACAACATCCCAGGCAAAATGTAATGATGCGCACTTCGTATTCCATCACTTGCTAGGTGTTCTGAAACTTTGCATCTTTAATGGTTTATGTTCATTTCATTTCGTGCGCT